GTCAGAGTGGTAATTACTACTGCAAAGGCCTTATAGGAAGGTCAGAGCACTCATCACAGTCTGTGACCATCACTGTCCAAGGTAAGGAGCTCTGTCTAGATGCAGGGAGTGGCACTGCAGGGATGGACAAGGGCTAAGGTCATATGGACCTACATGGAGACCTGAGAAATGCCACAGCAGCAAAATTGGGTACTCAGGCAAAGAGGAGAGGTGTGGAGAGCCTTGCCAAGTGTTGGCCAGTGGGCAGGAGTAGGGGCCAGAGCTCGGAGCCCTCAGTCTCCAGGTTATAGGTGACAAGGCCGTTGTCCCCCTTTGAAATGTAGGCCCCATACTGAGAACAGCAGTGAAGCAGAGCTCCCTCATTGGTGAGCTCCTGGACATTCCTAAGATCTCAGGTTTGCCTCGTTCCTTCTCATGTCTCCTGTTATCACCATTCACTCTAGAAGGCTTGGCATGTTCTGGAAAATTCAGGTGCTTGATATAGTACTGATGCCTCCAACTATGGGTGGCATCTGTCTTATCTGTCCCTGAGGGCTAAGAAGAACTATTCCCTCTGCTCCTACACACTCACTAGTGTGCCTTTATTAGTTCAGTGGAGACTCCTGGGTCTGGGGGAGGCACAAGTCCAGTTGCAGAATCCCATGCTGGGAGGATGGGGGTGAAGTGAGTACCACACTGTCAGTGACCCAGACCCAGAACAGCTCCAGGTGACAAGCCCCAGAGAACAGCTCCAGGTGACAAGCACCAGAGCACAGCACTGGAGGAGGGTGGGCAGGGTGGAGGTGGGACAGGGAGAGTACTACCTGTCTGAGATCTGTCTTCCCCAGAGCCCAACTCTACCAACTCTTTACCACTGGAGGTCATTGTGGCTGTGGTCACTGGGATTGCCGTAGTGGCCATTGTTGCTGCCGTAGGAGTTTTGACCTACCTCAGGAAAAGGCGAATTTCAGGTTTGTGGTTCCCCTTGGTCCCTCTTGTCAGTTCCCACTTGGACAAGGCCTTAATCCCAGACATTGCCAGAACCCATATCTTTAAGCTAGAAAATTCTTAGCATTCAGATATAGCCTCAAATTATTTTTC